TGCCCGAGATGGAGTTGCTGTGTAGGCTAAGGACATCATGCTGCGAGAGCTCGCTCAACTCCGCAGGGATGGTGCCCGAGATGGAGTTGGTGTTCAGGGAAAGGATATTCAGTTGTGAGAGCTTGCCCGTCTCTGGAGGAATGGTGCCCGAGATGGCGTTGTTGTTCAGCCAAAGGTTATACAGCTGCGAGAGCTTGCCCATATCCGAAGGGATGGTGCCCGAGATGATGTTGTTGTACAGCCTAACGTACTTCAGCTGCGAGAGCTTGCTCATCTCCGCAGGGATGGTGCCCGAGATGGAGTTGCCCTCTAGACTAAGGTGCTTCAGCAGCGAGATGTCGCCCAGCTGCGGAGGGATCGTCCCCGACAGCTCTTTGCCGTACAGATACACGGTGGTCCCCGTATATCTGCCGTCGCACAGCGATGTGCCATACACGCCGGTAGGGCAGCCGGAGGAGCATGGCACGCTGTTGTCGCAGATCGTGCCCGACGCCTCGCCGCGACCCGCCAGCAGGAGAAGCGTGAGCAAGACGAGGCGCGGTGCCGAGGAAGAGCAAACTGCCGCCAGCGACGTGAGAGCGAGTGAGAACGCGTGCTTGGCACCGACGCGGGAGTGTGCTGCGGTCGAGGCTGAGGCGAATGGCAGCGGGGTGAACGGTAGCGCTGCATCGAAGGTGAGGCTCGAGCCCAGCACTCCGGAGAGCGCCGACAACGGGCCCGCGGCATCGCTGCCCACGTCGGGCAGCAGCACAACAGAGGTCTGCATGATGGCGGCTTGCAGAGCGTCCCTTGGCGCCTTGGCCCACTAGCGAATGCGAGCGTCTCACGATTAGGGGGGCGACGTCTTTCTTTTTTGAGTGCGCCAGTCCACGCCCTTGTCGAGCTGAGTCGCGGATGACGGCTTCTGTGGTGAGTGAGTGAGTATTCTTGATACGAAACCACGACGACACACACCAGTCGACTCGCATCGGTTCCCTCCATGAACGGCGGAGCTATTCTCGCGTCCACACCACACCAAGTCACACTGTCAGTGCCAAAATTCTTCTTGGCTTCTAAAAATCTCTCTCTCCACACCTGGCTCCAACGTGGACACGCCCATAGCTGGGGACACTACTAGGTTAGGTTAGGTTAGGTTAGGTAGGAAGGTGAAGAACAGCCAGGCTCGGACTGGACACCAGCGCGGTATGGGTGGACGCGAGACAGATGATGACGACACGCACGAGCGACACACAGACACAAACAGGCTCACAAGACACACAGCCAGCTAACCGGTTAGCTGGCTGCCACACACCCTGAGTTGGCGTACACATAACTCAGGGCCACATCCTCCCTGTCGCCCCCCCCCCAGCACACACGGTGCCAAGGGTACAAAGAAGAGCACAACAACACAACAGGCGACAGGGAGTAACGTGCGAGGCTAGAGCAGACCGCTCCGCCTCTAGCAATCTCGCCGGCCGCAAGGCACGGCAAGACCGTGTGTGGGGTCTTGGGAGGTGTCTATGGACGCCCTCCTCACAGGCTGGCGGCCTAAAGTGCGGCCTACTGCCAGCCCTAACTCGCACTCATGGGTGATGTCAATTCATTGTATGAGTGTTTGCGAGCAAAAGCGCGTGCTGATCTAGATCGCACGCCGTGGCATAATGACTTGGGGAGGCGTGCGACCGCAGCGCGTGTCCGTCGTGAGGTCGACGGGGCGCGCGTGTCAGCGAGAGAGTTGCGGGCGGAGCCATACCCGACTTTTCGAAGACGAGCCCCGCACCACGGGTGCCAGCCGTGCCTTCGCGGGAGTCGCCCCTCGAGCCGCGTCCCGTCGGCACTCGCAACCAAGTATACTATACAAGGACACCCTCGGGGGGGACACTCGGCGCATGTGCGACACGTTAGGGTGGAGTTGGCGGTGGCCGAGCGTCGTCTCCAGATCAACTCGCAGCGCGGAGTCGAGGGGTGAAGCACGTCGCGCTGTGACACTCGAGAGCCGGCGGGATGGCCGTGGGGCGCGGCCGGCTTTGATGCCCTCGAAGGTCCAATGCGCAATCGTTCTGTGAGACCCACGCGTACAGGAAAGGGGGCGAGAACGCGCCATTCTGCTCCTACCTTTTTTAGGACCATCGCTCTCCGCGTTCCACACAGTGAAGCGCGTGATGATGTGGGCCTCGGTGAGAAAGGAGCCGTTGACTGTGAGTGCTCCGTTGTGAAGCCTGAATACGGCCTCCTCCGTCTTCACGTTGACTGCAAAGTCTGGGGCGCTGACAGGAAGTTGTAGATCACCTTGTGGTGGCCACGGAAGTCGGCAGAGCCGCCATAGGCGAACGACACGTGAGGGTCACGAAAGACATTGGCTTCCACTACACTGGGAGGCATGGATCTTGGGCCAGCGGAGCGAGAATCGAAGCGAGCAGAACGTATCCCATATTCCGAGTCGCTTCGGCGCAGCACGACGGGCCGGTTCTGAGTCCCGCCAAATTGGATATCTCGGCGGTAAGGAGATTGCGTGAGATCGCTAATGAGTGCGTCCCGCCTTTGCGGCACACACTCGACGAGGACAGTCCGGCCGACGGGAACGTGTCGCGCGCCGGCGACGGTTTGCGGCGGGGTGGGTGTGTGTACGAAGCGCCGATGGCACGACCACCGCCCTGCATCACAGACCGGGCAAGGAGGGGCCTGCTCGCGTTCCGCGGAACAGGAGATCTCCCCCCCTCCCCCGGCCTGAGCAGCTACGGGTGGAAGGCAGCCCCTTGAGTCGAGGGCGGCGCGACCATTGATTGCGCCGCGTCAAAGGCCAGAGGCCCCGGTTCAGTACAGATGGTCGCGCCGCCCCGCTCCGCGTCGCCCGCCGCCGCGCCGCCCCGCCGCCCGATGATTAATAATTGATAATTAATTTATAAATAATTGATTTTACGTATAACGCACGCGAAGGCTTTTGCCTTTTCGGATTTCGCCCTCTAGGCGCCGTTCGCAAAATCAGTAACGCGCCTCCGGCGGGGCCCCCCGCTACCATCCAAACCCGAGTACCGGTCTACAATCATAGATAGCCATCCTAGATAGAGGCTCAAGTGTGACATATGAGTCCACACACATAGACATACACATACACAAAGCAACTCTCACGACACACGGGCACCGGGTGGAGCGGCGGCGGCGGCGGCAGCGGCACGCGCGGGCGGACGGATTCGGACGGGGCGGAGCAGCGACCGCCTGGGCGGCCGCTACTCTGTCTGCCAGAGCGCGCCGTCTGCGCAGCTCGAGCGCCGTCAGGTGCAGGGAAGCGTGGCGGCGCGGGGACGCGCGGCGGCGGTGGCGAGCAGGCGAGCGGCCCGCGCGCGGCGAGGCGGACAGGAGATCGGCAGGCGGGTGACGGCCGGAGAGTAAACGCGCCCAGCGATCGGAGACGAGCCGATCGTCGCTCGGCCGCAGCTGACCTCGAAGGCGTGCGGAGCGCGACTGTTGGTGTCGGGGGGCGGCCGTCATGTGGCGAGGAGGGAGGACGACAAGTGCGCGTCGTACGGGTCGCTCTTCATCGGCCAGTCGAGCGGCACTCAAGTCGAGACCGAGCATGGGCGACGAAAAGCCGGTGGGGCCGGTGGGAGGTAGGACGAGATTCGTTTCGCGCTTTCAAAAGCGGCTTCGCGCGCAGCGCAACTTTGGGTTTGCCACGAAAAGCGTCCCCAACGGAAAGGGGGGCTACTGGGGCGGCCAATTCACACCTCGCGGGACTACTTATGTTTTCGATGCGTAAACGTAGTTGTGGCCCCCCGCTTACCTCCCGCACGGAGGTGGCAACCCGGGTTAACCGGCGGGGGGG